CATATTTAAAGGGATCATATATTCTATTAATTTTAAAAATCTGATTTTACGAATTATAAAGTTTTTAATTGGACATTCTGACAGAATATGTTTGAGTATGTTCAAAAATAAAAAAATTCTTGAACCATAAAATAATAAAAATATTATTGAACATATTTCTTGAGCATGACTTTAAAAATTTCTTGTAGAATAACAAAATTCTCGAACCATCAATTGAAGAATTAAAACAAAAATTACATTAATTCTTATAGAATACATGTAACAATTGCTAAGAATTACATTTATTGTTAAAAAATAAAACTAAAAAAACTTTCAAATCCGTAAAAAAACATCAAAATCTAACAAAGACACTACTACATTCTAAAAGAATAATGTTGCTAAGAGGCGTCGTTCAAATTTCGTGGTCCGTTCTTCAAGCATCAGCTTCTGTAGAAACAAATCTAATAATAAATTAGTGAGAAAATATCCATATTTCATTCCAACATAATTGGAATTCGTGATTCCATTCTAATAGAATTGGAATTCATTTACCAATAATTATATTAATTCGGGGAATTCTAACAGAATATGTTCATGATTATCATAAAAAACATTCTTTTCTGATAGAATACTATAAACGAAGAAATACCATTCAGTTGAAGCATTTTAGCGAGCGTTTGGTGTGCATCAAAACAACTTTCAATTTCGAATGAGAGGGTGCTACATCCGTCGCAATAAGAACCCTAACCCTAGGAGGGTGCTACAGCTGCCGCTTATACCCTATCCTTCACCCGCCACATCCTATCCGCCATTGGAGCCGGAAATCACTGGAGCCACCCCCTCCTACGTTTGAAAGAGAGCGAGCCAGTCGGATGCAAGAAGTCTAGGGTTGTCACGCCACCATCCCTTTCGTGGTGGCTAACTGCCGTGAACCGCTCAGTCACCGCCATGTTTATATGCCTGCTGTGAACTACCGGTGCCCAACCACCGTCGCCGCTTCAATGAGCATCGAAGACGAAGGCCACCGATTATAACTGTGGCAGCGAGCGATCGGAAGAAGAAAGATATTGGCTGTCGCGTTGTGTTTCACGTGAGTACGAGTGTTTCTGCTCGTGTTTGGATGCGTATTCCAGAATATGTCGTCGTGTGTGTGTGCTTGGTCGGCCGGAAGTGGAGTGTGTACGAGAGGGAGATGAGAGGGAAAAGGTTGGGGGCGACGATGAATAAAAGAGAAGAGGGAAGAGGCGGACGTGAGGATATATACTAGAAATTGGGTTTTAAAATTGATATTCCTAAATTAAAGGGATATTAATTGATTTATATATTTATCATAATTAATTAAATGTATGATTACATATTTATCCTTTTGAAATGATTGACCTATATTTATTCATACAATAACACAATAATTACTTTAAATACCTGAACCTAGCTCTCTCTCTCTCTCTCTCTCTCTCTCTATATATATATATATATATATATATATATATATATATATATATATATATATATATATATATATATAGAGAGAGAGAGAGAGAGAGAAAGAGAGAGAAAAAGAAAGAGTTAAAGCAACGATGTAATGTCCCAAAAATTCATAGTCAAATGTTAGAGTTTATAATACCTTTGTAGACTTTTCAAGCTCCATTTATCTTTTACAAGGGCGGATATTGTTGCCTCCTAACCATCAAATAAATTTGAAACATCCCAAAAATACGGTCCGAAAATTTCATTTTTAAATCATTAGTGAAAGCCATCATAATCAACCATCTCATATATAAACAAGAATGTTATATCAAATCAGAGTATAATCTCCAAAACATATTCTTTTTATCAGAGTAAAACATCCCAGGCTAAACAACAATGGTGTGTGCCATGCGATCACCCCGAGCTCCTTCCTCCGCTACCGGAAGTACCTGAAACCAAAACTGAAAACCGTAAGCACGAAGCTTAGTGAGTTCCGCAACCTACCACATACCACATACATAACCACATACTGGGCCCCCCGCCCGCTGCATCGGGACTTGCCCGACATCGGACTAGCTTCGGCATCGGGCCCCGCTCGGCATCAGGCCCCGCCTGGCATCGAGCCCCGCTCGATATACAGATCTGTCTTTCTTAGGCCCCGCCTGTCTCCGGGCCCCGCCCGCTAAACATATTCAACACATAATCATAGCACATAACACATAAGCTAAACCTACTCTACTATAGTTCGGTAATTAAGGCCTCGCCTATCTTGGGCCCCGCCCCTGTCCTGCTACTGGTGAGTCATGGAACCCCGTCCATGCTCCTGCTGATAGTTTAGTTTTAGCGTCATGGGTCATAAGAATCTGTGGTTCGAGTATGCAGGCTTATTGGTTCAGGTTTATTGTTGTGAGAAGGAAGGGAAACCAGTTTGTCGTCGAAGTGCTCGCGACTATGAATTTTTCTTGTTATATTTCTTAAGGAACTATCGAATTTCCTTCTCACGTGAGGAATAATTTAAGAATTAGTCAGATTAGGGGTGCAAAATAGGTAGTCCAATAGGTTTATGCCTTCAGAAAATCATTAGTTTTACTTGGAGCTGACTCGCTATGGAAAGTAGTTCCCCATGGGAGCCCAATGTATTTTCGTAAGAAAGCAGTTAGGCTACTCACGTTTTGTGTTGGATTTATAGAGTTTGGTTAGCTCCTATAAAGGATAATTTGTCTATTTTCAAGGACTGGAAATTGTTTATTAGTTTTAGAGTAAAGTATGTGCACTTTCAACGAAAACAGTTTGTCAGGTATCGTCTTTATGTGTGGGTAAGTGGGTGTTTGAGGACAACCTTCAAAGTAGATTATAACCATAAAGGTATGTAGTGATGCAGTTGGGAATCGATTATGCAGGAATAGTATATATAAGTTTTTTTGATTGTGTTTGTTTGACCCATGTTATACCGGTGGATTTTTATGATTATCTTAGACTTCTACAGTTATATGAGGTTTTTCTGGCATTAGGTAATAAAAGATCAGATGTCGAAGTGCGCTTCATTATAGTTCTTGATGTGAGGCTTTATGTTTGTGTAAGGTTCAGTTTGGGACGTTGTGTCAACCTGAATGATAGATTGGGTCGAACCGAACAGGGTTAAATCAAAATTATTATTTGGTGATTCTGAAATTTTTCTTCGGGTTGGGAGTCTCAATGAGTAATTGGTTATTGTCGGAGGTCTGATCATATTTTTCATTATTTGGAACCTTGTTTTGGTGGTTTAGGAGAGTGATTTCATTAGTGGTTTGATGTTCTGCAGTCATTTTGACCAAGGGATAAAACCAAATGACGCTCTAGCTAAGTGTTGCAAGAAAATTTGAGCATTCGACTAGATGTAGTGAGGAATCTGATTGGGAGGTACTTCTTGTCGCAGTTTGAGTGTTTAAAGCCTGTTGGAAGAGCTATTGGTGGCTAAGTGTCCGACAGGTTTTGAGTTGGGTGTTTGGAAGTTTGTTGGCTGGTTTAAAAAGTCATGATTATTTATCAAATTTCCATGTTGAGATTCTGCACTTGTGGACTCTTGTTTGTTTATGAGAGTTGTTTATTATGAGCTTAATTACCAATGTTAGGGTATTGGTCCTCGAAAATCTCGAATCGTTGTGTTCATAGTAGTACCAAGTTGTGATCTATCAAGAGGTTGTGCGTTTGAGCCTGAATGGGAGTTTTCGATACGACATGAGGTTATGATTCGTTCATTGATATGCTCATGGGAACAACGGGTTAGTGATGACTTGTCAGGAAGTCAAGTGTGCGTCAAAATGTCCTTTTGGGCATGATTTTCCAAATTTGGGATTTGTTGAGTTGTTATGGTCGGAAGGTTCGAGTACTCACTTCAACGTGCTATGACAGTGTTCCTAGTCAAACGGACTGGGGATGGGTATATTAAGAAGGTGATCGTCGATCTTAAATTAAGTTTTTTGAGGTTTCAGACCGATGGATTTTCGGTCTTCTGAGGTTTTTGGGGTAGTTTGGTGGTTTTATTGTAGAAATTCCCGATGTTGGGGGCTTTCGCAAGGAGTTTGAGTGAACCATCGGTGATGAGAAAAATAGTGGTTGCAAGATGTGTAAGTTCAGATTGTTCTGTTTGAAATGACGACATTATCTAGGTTTCGAGTGGCCTCAGGAACCCCACTTGTTTGATACGTCGAACTATGGGTGATTGGAAAAGTCATAAAGGATAGTGCAAGGGTTGTCTTTTGTAATTTAGCCAATGCGAAATCCTGTTCAAATGAGGGAGAACTATAACACTTGTGTTCTAATTATGGTGTTAAAGTCCAAGGAAAAGTAGAAGCAATCAACGAAGCAGGAGACATAAATGAATTAATCGAAAAATATTATATAACACGAAAACAACAAGATACGGTGTCATGTTTATGTTTTTGTTAACACAAAAATGGATCGATTAAAACATGACATTCCAAACATGACATGATAAAGATACCATAATACTATTATTATTATTATTATTATTATTATTATTATTATTATTATTATTTTATTTTTAAATTCATACTTGATTATATACAACACGAAAAAACGTGACAAAAACGAAAAAACACGGCAAACACATACTAAATCATGTCAAGTTTTAAACACGAACATGGTATGGAACGACGTCGTGTTTTTTACACTTGACACAACCACGACACAAATATAAATTCAGATTTTGATTTCGTCCTCGTTTCGTTTTGAGTCGTGTATTTTTGTCGCGACGTGTCTTAGATTGACATCCCTACTTTTGATCTTAGCTATTTCATTTTAATTATCATTTTCCCTACTTTAGCAACTTGGACTTTTATTCACTTTTAAATCCTTTAATTAATATATAATAATAGAAATAATATATAGGGAAATACTTAATTAATTATATATATAAGATTGAAAAGTTAAAGTATTATGATATTAATCCAACGGTTTGTATTTACAGGTTAACGAACAAAATAACATGATTATATCCTGTCATGCATGTATGATTTCATCAACAATCGATCTCCAATGGAGTTGTATTTACATTATCTAAATGACTCTAGAATCTCCAAGTCCCATTCAAGTTCAACAGGAGCAGATATGGTTGCCTTGTAACTATCAGGAAAATGAAAATCTTCACCAGCATCACCTTGAGGCACCACGATTGATTGATTTAAATATCTTTGCAGGCTTTCCAAGCTCCATTCACCTTCTACTGGGGCGGATATCGTTGCCTCCTCATAACCATCAGGAAAATGAAAATCTTCAGCAGCATCATCTTGAGGCAACACCTTGGATTGATTTAAAAACCTTTCCAGACTTTCCAAGCTCCATCCACCTTCAACATGGGCACTTATCGTTGCATCGTAACCATCATCAGGAAAATGAAAACTGTCAGCAGCACCACCTTGATCCCAAGCATTGTGCAGCCACTGTAATCAATTAGTGGTTCCATAGAAGAAGAATTCGAAACACCATTTGAAAATACAAAACCGTTGCATGCAGTACTCGATGAATCCATATTCGTCTGATCATAACATGTCTCTCTGTTTTGCACTGGTTGTATGGAATTCAAACCATGGTCAGTAGTATTCCTTGTGTAGGCACCATCGTCATCATGTGGTTGTGCGGAGGAGGCAGGTGGTTCAATAGAAACAGAACTTGAAGCAGTACTATAAGAACTTTGACAGCCGTTGCTTGCGTTGGAAGTAAACTGATTCTGATAGCATGGTGGTGGTGCTTGTATTAGACAACTCCGACCTTGAACAGTACTAGTCATCGGTTGCTGTTGCATTGGAACGGGATAGGGGATGGAGTTCATTCTGATGTCGCCATTGTTAACCCATGTGTGACCAGTCGACCCCATCGGAGGAGGTGTTAGCTGTCCTCTCATATCAAACTCGTGGACAGGTGCCACCATCTGAACACAGCAGGTATCCGAATAATGATTAGTTTCTTGAACGTCAACTTGTTCGGGGTGGTGATCATTTGAAAAATTGATTTCATTGTTTTCTGATACTCGTCGTCTCTTGGGCAAAGATATGGGTTCTTCCATCGCCTCCTTACCTCGACGTCTTTTACGAGTTTGCACCTTCTTGTAAATCTTGCACAGCACCCATTCGTTCAACTACAAGAAGACCAGATATTACTTAAGCATACAATCATATGGAGGATTATAGCAATCTTACTTATAATTTATATAATAATAAACAACAGAATTTCTTACAATTAATTTCTACATACCTTGTCTCCGTTTTCAAAAGGAAGATTGGGTCCATTGATTGTATATTCATGCATTAGCCACATAGTTTTGATGTCATTCTCAAAATACGCAAGACTTCCCTTGTGGCCAACCATTTGTCCAGACGTGGCATCATACACCGGCTTATGTTTTTGAGTAGTCCTCCAGGTCCCAAGTTTTCCGAGTACTGCTCTATCAGGTCGATTTCCTTTTGGGTACTTTCGATCCCGAGAAGTCAGAAAATACCACTTGTTCTCATGGGACCGATGATGTTCTGCAATCAGCCAATTAAAACATAAGAGTTCAATTAACATCAAACAAATAATTAATAAAGAAACCGTCATGCATGCATATATGTATCTTTACGTACTAAACAATAGTGTTAGTTATTTACAATCAGAGCTAATTAACTCAAGAAAGAAACCATCATTCAAGAATCAAGCTGAATCATGAATGTCTCTTCAATTAATTAGTTGATTACTAACCTGCGAGTTCTTCAGGCCTATGGTTGTAAATATTGACCTCGTGTAACCGGCACTTGGGGGGCTCTCTTGATTCAATCTTGGCGTTCAAGCAGTCTACAATGAGCTCTGAATCCGTGGGACAGAATCGATATCCGGAGGGAAGCTGATCAGCAAAATCCAGGGCAACTTGCTTACCTCCGTTACATGAATATGGGATGATTTCTTGCTCGACGTCCATTGATGTTAAGAGTTGAGATCGATGGAATTAAGCACAAGTACTGGTTTGAAAGTCAGAATAAAGTCGATGATGAGTATGAGTAATGGGCAAATTTATTTAGATATATGTATATAGTGGTGTGAAGAGGAATAAAAGGAAAGGTTTATCCTTATGTGATTGACGCTAAAGGTTCGCTAACTGTATGCAGTCTTTCTGTCATAGTAATCTAATTGGATTTTTGGTTTACTCAGTTAAAGGCTAATAAAAACTATAACCTACCTCTGTTGTAGGAAAAACTTGCTTATTTTTTTGGATAAATGGTGAAAAACGTATTTAATTAATGTAATCTCTCTTCTTTTTTACAATTTAATCTAATAGGTATATAAAATTTATGATTTTTATAAAATATACTATAAAATGATTAAAAGTATGTGTATTCATCAACTATTTTTCACTTTTGTTCCATCTTTTTATTATTTTTTTGGAACAATAACATTTTTTATATATTAGATTGAAAAGTTGAACTATTTTGATATTCATCGATTGATAGCTTAACAAACAAAATAATATGATTATATCCTATCATGCATGCATGATTTCATCAACAATTTATATCCAATGGATATAGTATTTACATTATCTAAATGATTGTCCAAAATCTCCAAGCTCGATTCAAGTTCAACAGGAGCAGACATATATGGTTGCCATGTAACTATTAGGAAAATGAAAATCTTCAGCAGCATTACCTTGAGGCAACACCATTGATAGATCTAATCAAGGGTTTTATGACCGCACGTTGCAGCCGAAGTTTAAACAATATTCTTTTGTCGAAAGTGCATTGTTAAAAACGAAAAAAAATATATCTATTAACGATCTTTTTAAAGATTTATTGCAAATCCAATGGAAGTACATTGCTAAAGATGGCAAAGCAGTTCTAACTATATATTACATATTCACACAAATACACCCACATACAAAAAACTACACAACTTAATTAAACATAAGTATAATTTTACAATAGCTAAATTAACATATAAATGATAGTTAGTTGTTATGGCTTGCCTTTTATTCTAATTATAAAATATTATATATAGTATCATTGGTAAAAGTAATACCTTCCCCACATGTGCTCCATAATTACGCTGCCCAAAACCGTAAACAATAAGAAAACCTAATTATAGCATTATCGACAATGCTATAAATTGTTTTTTTTCTTCTTAAAGCATTGTATTTTAAAATACAATGTTGTTATAATTGGTGGTTATTTTCAAATTATGCCCAAATATAACATTTCACTTTCAAAGTACAATGTTTTTATAAAATTTAATTATAAAAAATAAGTGAATTAAATAATGAAATAAGACATTTTCATATTCCTTTGTTATTTTGGACTGGAATTATAGAAAAATGTTTTTTTAGCAATCTCTTGTGGTTAAAGATTTTTTAGTAATGCACTTTGTGAAATGAGGTTGTTTTTACGCCTTCATTTGCACATGAATGGTTCCTTTTTTTTGGTAATATTTATTAGAGTAAATTACACGATTCGTCCCTAGCTTAAGCGGAAAATTGCTCGTTAAATCACTATTTTCAAAAATTAACTCGGACCATCCCTATAATGTTTTTTTCTCTCCCTACAAGAAATATAGTCATTACCGGCGACACCAATAGCGACGACATGTACCTTTACCGACGACATATCAATTTGTCGCCGCTAAAGGGAATGTCGCAGCTTAAGTGCCACGTCATGGATCCGCGTTTTCACGTTCCGTTAAACGATAGCCGTTCGATCGTGTTTCTAATCCAATGGCTGGGGTATTCGTGGAACACACAAAACCAATACCGGCGACACAAGTCACCGCTAAATACCTAACCATATCGCCACTAAATGTTGAATAAATGACGCGGCAATAATTCCCTCCGAAGCTGTCGACGCTATTGATAAACATCACCGCTAAAGCCCCCTGCGTCGTCGGCAAAGGTGTCCCCCCGTAAAGTTCCAGCAACAACACAGGATGATGGAAAGAAGTTTGTTTGGTCCAAACAATACACCAATGCAGACTTCTTCTTCAAAAAAGAGCTAAAAACCACCTACAAAGGCCCAAATGAGCTCAAAAGCTTCAAAGGAGATTAGGGTTACGAACTCAGAGGTTTAAGAGTGATGGAGGATGAGGGTGGGCAACCCTAGCCTCCCTCCTCCTTTAAATACCCGAAAAATTAGGGTTTCATGCTTTAGCCGCTCGCCACGTCGTGGCTAACAATGCCATGTCGTGGGGGCTCGTTAAAGTCCCATGAACATTCTAGCATCGCCACCACGTCGTGGTCAACCAAAGCTCACGAATAATTTATAAAAATTTTCCTTAGAGAAACCGGATGTTATAAGCGATGGATGGTGGACTGGTGGTGAGTGTCTGGTGGCAGTGGTTGAGACTCGAGATAAGAATGGTATGCCTTTTTCAACCCATACCGAGAACTATTTCTTCTGATTAGATATTGAGAACAGTCATGAGCGTATAGAATACCTTAAATGCCCTTAATATCACCCTGTAGCATGATGTTCTCTAAGCAACAATGCAAACTTTTTGTAAAATGTTAGAGTTTACAATACCTTTGTAGATTTCTCAAGCTCCGTTGTAACGTCCCAAATTTCAAGGCCAAAAATTTCATTTTTGATATAACAATTTAGAAAACATTTATAAGAAAACATAAGTGAATCATATAATTTCATAAACCATAATCTCATGTCTCAAAATCATATCATAAAATAGTAACAACGTCAGAGTACATTCCCAAGAAATCTCATAGTGCGGAAATACTGGGGGTGTGTGATGTGCCGCTACCGCGCCGACTCCTTCCCCTTCACTGAAGAGGTACCTGAAACCAAAATTGAAACTGTAAGCACGAAGCTTAGTGAGTTCCCCCATCATACCACATACCATACAATCACGTGACATACATACTGTCAGACATATCTGGGTGCCCAACCTACCCCTTCGTTCCTCTCGACCGGTGACCTTGCCTAGCATATCTGGGTGTTGGCCTACCCCTTCGGTCCTCTCGACCGGTATCGGGGAATTATCTACCCCTTACTACTACCACATATTATCACATAATCATAATCTGTCTAGCATAGTTGGGTACTTAACTACCCCTTCGGCCCTATCGGACGGTAACTTGTGGACTATCTCCCCCTACTGCTACGATCACATAACATCATAACAGGTTAACACATAAACATATCAAGTAGCATTCAACACATACAATTATCACAAAGACAATTGTCTAACATATGCTCCTACTGGTTGGCCGACATTGTGGCCGTAGACCCACCGCTACTAGAAGGTAACTCACCTCGATGTCGTGTAGTATCTGCACGGTCCTCGGCACGGGAATCGACTCGACTCTACTCCCCAATCCATACACAACAACCTTTTCCGATTACTATTGCATACTCATAACCCTTACAAGGGTTAATCCAAATCCAATTAAAAATCAAGGTCAAACCCTGGACTTGACTTGACTCGTCGAGTTGGTCCACCAACTCGTCGAGTCCCTATCCTTTCAAAATGATACAACCCCCGAATCTACTCGTCGAGTCTAGCAACAACTCGACGGGTCATTCTTCAACCATAACATCAGGACCATCTTCAATCGACTCGTCGAGTTCCCTTTGAACTCGTCGAGTTCATCTCCCTCATACGAATGTGTTCAGTCTATGACTCGCCGAGTTGTATAAACAACTCGTCGAGTCCATTTTCATGGGTTGGGAGATTGCCTTGGACTCACCGAGTCTGTTCATGCACTCACTGAGTCCTATGATTTCCAAGTCTTATAATCACGTCCAGCTTTGTTGAGTCCTTTCTAGACTCAACCAGACTCCACAAAACGGCAAGGGTCGAGGAACAATCTCCCGACTCGCGGAGTCCCAAGAACAACTCGCCGAGTCCACTAAGTTCATGTCCATAAACTCGATTTCTGTTCAGCCCATCTCATCCAAAGGGTAGATCTGACCTCTTAAGGTCGATATCACACGTAAAGTCACGAACTTGTAACATCCGGATTCCCAGGTATATTATTTTATCTATTTATTTTTTTGAGGTTTATTGATCTACTCGACGAGTTGGTGCTATAACTCGCCGAGTAGAAGCGGGTGTAGACACGTGAGTTTAGTGATCTACTCGATGAGTCCAAGAATAGACTCGCCGAGTAGGCGCTGTGAGTGGAAACACTAGATCCCTAGGTTTGGGGCCTATTTAAGAGCACTTATAGCCTCATTTACGGCCACACCTCACTGAGAAGAAACCCTAATCGCCCCCTTGAGCTTTTGAGAGAACTTTGAGCCTTACTTGAGATTTGTGGGTGCATTTTGGTAGAAGAAGGGAGGATTCCAAGCAAGTATTGTGAAGGGGCTGTTAGATCTGCTGCTTGTATGTCCAAGAGCTTCCGTTAGAGGTATCAAGTTAGAACCTTTCTCTTTTGTTTGAGTAGATCTCTTATTTTGAAGATTAGGGCTTCTTTTCCTTATATTTTGGGACTTTGAGGATTTGGGGTTCCTGAGGAGGCTTGAACTCCAGATCTGGACCTTAGGAGGTCCCTAGCATCTAAAGGTTCCTGCTTTATTCAGCCTTGATGGAATTTACGAGTGAAAAACCGATTTAGATCGTGTTTTTGGCATTTCATGCCCAAAATGCCATGCATGGACATAAAGTATATGACTTTACGTGATAAATGAGCCTTGAGAGTATGGATCTGGAGTTTGGGAAAGTATCCTGCCTTAAAGTCGTCTGAATGTAAGTTGAGTCTGAATGCACTCGCCGAGTTGATGAGCCGACTCGGCGAGTAGATTAGGGTTGTCCCGATTAGCTGGATCAGGCGAAAGCTCGGCGAGTTAGGGGTTAACTCGACGGGATGGACCTTCATGAGATTGTCAAGAATCGATGGGACTCGACGAGTCACACAAGTGCACTCGGCGAGTCTGGTCAATTTGGGGCTGTTGACTGGAATTGACTTCTGTTGACTTTAGG